GGTGAAATGATAATGGAGAGGATGATGACAACGAGAACTGATTATGACATTGGTGACAATGGTAGTGGTTATGACGATGACAATTACTGGTGATAATACATAAGTAGTCATTAACTTGAAATTGATAAAACTGTTGCTGGACAAATGATGTTAGTGCTGATGATAACAACGATGTTGTCATTGATAATAATAATAATGATGATGGTAGTGGTTATGATGAAGATCTGCTGCTGTTACTTCTGATGCTCATAATGCCGTGAAGACCAGGATGACATYGATGATGGTGATGGTGATAATATGATGATTTTGTGATGATAACGATATGATGATGATGTTCATATGATGTCCATCTGATCATAAGTGGCTATAATCTTAACAACGATGACATTGTTCACAAGGCAAATGATTTCTGCCAGCAYTTTGCCGTTTGATAGATTTTCATGTATTTTCGGGTTGGGGAAACTCAGGCAACCAAGCAACTACATCATCTTATTTGTGCATGTAAATGAAAAATGTTTATACTTTCTTTTTGCACCGAAGGTTGTAGTGCAAGAACAAAATCTGCAGACGTCAATGGTTTGATGGAGATAGACTTTACTAGACATCTTAATCGGGCAAGGGAAGGCTTCGTTGGACGTCAGTGGCTTTTTAAAGGCATTTCAAATTCTCTTGAAAATGACGAATTTAAGGGGGTCATGATTATTGCAGCACCAGGGTTTGGCAAGTCTGCTCTAATKTCAAATCTCATCTGCTCTAAGCTATCAAGCTTCTCATTGCACAGCAAAATCCTGGGGTATCATCTTTGTATTCATTCACATAAAAACACACAAAATGGTGCTAAGTTTGTTCGTAATTTAGAAAGCATGATAGCCGGAAGATTACAAGAATATGAAAGTTTAGTAWTGAATGATAAATTCATACAGAGAGTCCTTGAAAATGAGCAGTGCWCGAGCGATCCAACGGCATGCTTTGAGCAGGGAATTCTTACTCCATTGTCAAGACTTCGACTAAGATTTTTGGAGCCAACAATGTACATTGTTATTGATGCRCTGGATGAGTGCTACAATGAGAACGAGCAAGGCAAAGGAACATCGATTGTGAATATCTTAAGCAACAACATGAAAATGTTTCCCAACTGGCTTAAAGTTATTGTAACATCAAGAAACGTAACAGATATTCGAAGAACGTTTAGTAGTCTCGATGTTATGGATTTCTTGCCAGAAGACCCAAGAAATCTGCAAGATATCGAACGTTTTATCTTTTCACAATTACGTTATTCTTTCCTGTTTCAAATGAAAAGTTTTGTTGTTGATGATTTTTCAATCCAAGCCATGGTTAACAAAAGCCAAGGAAATTTCTTGTACAWTAAACTTGTCCTGRAGTACTTGCAGACCAAAGGAGTTAGCGCAGCGACCTGGAACTCTTTACCAACATCAAT